CTTCTCCAGTGAGTCCTTCCTTCTCATTAGGTGGCCAAAGTATTTGGCCACCTAATGAGAAGGAAGGACTCACTGGAGAAGAGCCTGATGCTGGGAACAATAGATGGAAAAGAAGAAGGGGACAGCAGAGGATGAGGTGGCTAGATGGAGTCACTGAAGCAGTTGGTGTGAGCTTAAGTGGACTCCGGGGGATGGTGGAGGACAGGAAGGCCTGGAGAAATGTTGTCCATGGGGTTGTGATGGGTCGGACATGACTTTGCGAATAACAACAACAAGTCAAGGATTTTGTTCCAACAGCAATCAGACAGAGCTTTCTGAAATTGCCACAATCAAGGTATAGCCAAATCCCATTCTGTTGCTCAACATCAATGGAGTTTGCATCTGAGCATGGCAGTTCCATCTATTCATAATGAAATCCACTGAACACAGTATTAATTCCAAGTAAGTCACAGAACAGAATTCGTCTGTTGGCTATTATAGTTCAATATAATTTTAATAACCTTCTTACTAAGCAGACAAAACCCCCATCTGGACCAGTATGTGTGCATGCATATTTCTAAAATGCCACTAAAAGCTCCCAGGAAGCCATAAAAGTTACAGCCCTCCTCTGTCAAGCATTTAGCATTTAATGGGATACTGAGAAAATTAGCTTGGGATAAATTAGAAATGTAATGAAATAAACAGGCTGCATAGTATGCAGTCACTATGGTTACTAGGTAAAAACAGATGAGCCCAGCTAAATCAGGTCAGATGACCATCTAATGACTAACCAGGTGACTCTGGAAGGTTTACAAGAAAGGCATAAATGCAACAGCCCTCTCCTGGTATTGCCCTCTGGCCACCATGGCTAACAGTGGTTTGCTCAAAGATAAATTCATAGATGTATTCAATTATATTACATATATATCTCCCTTTCCTCCAGGGAACCCAAAGTGGCGTACAGGGTCCACCTCCTCTCCATTTTCATCATTCATTTTATTTATTTAAAACATTTATATGCCGCCCAATTGTGCCCCAGCACCTCTTCACAACAACCCTCTGAGGTGGGTTAGACTGTGGGACACTGACTGGCCCAAAGTCACCCCGTGAGCTTCATGGCAGAGTGGGGACCAGAACCCTAAACTGCTTCAGAACCTGGAGGCCCCTTTAGTTTCGCGGCTAGTATCAACAGACACAAAATTATCGACATCATTATTAATAGTATTAACGACAACAGCAGCTATCACCCGCCCGCTTACCAGTTCCGGGAAAGGCTCGCACAGGAGCCCCAACTGGCAGAGCCGAGGAAAGGTAATAACCGACCGGACTCACCGTGCTCCGCCCAGCCCCACGCCAGGCCGGTTCCCGTCAGCACCACCAACAGCGGCAGAAGCCGCGCTCTCAGCGGCGCCACCATCACGGCCCTTCCGCGAGCGAGTCAGCCCGGAATCTCGACGCTCGACTGTGGCGACAGCGAACTCGTCAACGCCCTCAAAGTCTCTGATTGGCCCGCCGATTCCTATTTCCTCCTCCTCTGGCACACGCAAGCTTGGCATCGGTTAGCGGAGGCGTCTGGCAGCGCCATGTTGGAGTTGGGCGCGTCGTCGTCGTCGTCGTCGTCATTGTCTTGTCGCCCGCCTTCCTTGCACATTGCAGCCAATGAGCGGATAGGCTTTTGTCCAGAAGGACCACGGAATGGTCGGACGTCGCTGAGTTGGTAACGATTGGCTTGTTGGCTTCACTCTCATCAATGGCTCTGCTCGCACCAAAGACGGGACTGGAAAAAAAAATCAATCGACGAAATAGAGCAGTGGGATCGGTTTGGTTGTAAAGTTTGTGACCTCTCGCGGCGATTCTGTTTAAAGGAAGGCCTAAGGATGATTCGAATTTAGAGAGTCCTTCGGAACAAGGAACAAATTCCTAAAGGGTAGCTCTTTGGATTGCTTGAAATAGAGTCTTGTGGCCCCTGAATTGAATTCGGACGTATTGTGGAATCGCGTTTTGTAGCGCGCTTGGTCAAATGAATGATTTAGACCGTGCTTTGTGACAAGATGAATATTTATGATGCAATGCATCATCATTAGTGTGCAATAGTGAACTTGGTCAATATGTATGATGCAATGTATCATCTAAGTGGGCAATCTATTTTCTACTACATTGGCAAACTGTCTAGCTAGGACAAAGGAGAAATGTACCTTGGCCTACTCTTAACACCAACTTGTTCTAAGATACCAGCAGCTGTTAAAAACACCAAAATCCATTAAAAATTAATGCCAAACCAAAGATATAAGCTTTCCTTGGAAGGCTGAAATCATAAGTATTTAAAATAAATAAATAAATCCTGACAAAATTAGTTGTATTTACTTAATGAGGAAACAGGCTAGAACTGAGGAAACTATGCACATTTGGAAATAAGTCTGAGTTGCACTTGTTACCAGTGTAAAGTACAAATGTATGCTAACTTGGAGGTAAGCCCCATTCCAAGCAAATATTCAGAGTGGGCTCTTGCTGTTGGTCCTAGACAAGTTTACCCTTCCTATCTCATGGAGGGACTTAACTTCCAAATATAGCTGGAATACTGAACAGACATAACAGGAAATAATTCTTACTGAAGTAAAAGGGAATTACTTCTGAATGTTACAGACTAAGATGTAAACAAAATGTTGCTTAGTCCTGTGCATTTTTATTCATTGTGTTCAATTGGACTTGTTTGGTAGCTTTTTATCTACTTGCATTTAAATTAAACTGCAAGGCCGGCTGGAGGTGGGATGAAGCACAGGAGCTCACCTGTGCGTGGAGTCGAACTGTCGACCTTTCAATCAACCAGCCCAGCAGTGCAGCAGCTTAAACCATTGTGCCACCGCATCCATAATACTAGAGCCTTAAAACATGATTGAATTGTGGTGGTTATTGAAACAGTTTTTGAGCTCTTTTCCCCACCTCATACATTCAGCTGTTTTGATTTATATCATACTTTAAATTTTTTTTTAATTTATGGGTTGTACATTTTTAAGCATTCTGGGCTTGGTGGATTTTTCTGAAATGCTTATTTCATTTGGCAGACCTCTCTTGGATGTTGGAAGCCCAGACAAGGAAGTAGGTTGTGCTGCTTTCAAAAAAAATGGCAAAGGGATCAGAGAAACTTGCCTTTTCCCCCCAGGGAACCTTGCCTATCATTAATGAAGCATTTTCACATGTTCAGCAAGCATGTTGCTGCAAGCACATCAGATTAATAAGAATGCTGAGAGTGATTCACAGCACCATTTTGAGTGCTATTTACATGATGAAGTGATGAGACTTGGTGAAGCAGGAATGGGTGTAGAAAGTGTGGGTCAATGTGTAAATTCCAGCAAAAAAAGGATGTGCAATTCTCTGCCATCTCTACCAATGCACTTCCCTATTAGACAGAGTTTAAGTTTGCCCAACCACCTTATATGCATTAGGTCTGAATATGATTAAACACAGAAAAAAGAAAAGATGCTGCCTGGAAAGGCAACCACCAGCTAAATGGTGGTTCCCTTTTAAAATCTCCTCACAAGTAGAAATGAAAGTTGCCTGTAGAAGTCAATTGAGGCATCTAGGATTTTAGTGATTGGGCACCAGTGGGTTTCCTCAGAAACAAATAGTAGGTATAAATATTCCCATATTTGGAATGTTCTTCCTAAGGAGATTCGCCTGACACCTTCCTTACTTTCCTTTCAGCGCCACCCAAAGACCTTTCTTTTTTAAAAACATTTTAATAACCAATTGCTATAAGACCTTTGTTTTGTATGCTTTGTTGTATTTTATTGTTGTTTTAAAGTGTTATTTGTTTTATAATATTTTATTGTGTTTTTATCTTGTGGTTGTGAGCTACCCAGAGGTGCTGTGGCACAATTGGGCGGCATACAAATGATCTGAATAAATAAATAAATACAAGTATTCATGTTTTTTTCTAACTCAGGTTGTTATATTGTTTTTAATTAAAATATAAAATTAAATTTTATACTAATGTTTAAAACATATTTTACATTAATGTTTTAAGTCATTTTCTACCAAGTCCAAGTACAGACAGAATCTAAATATGTAGTGTTTGTGTTGAGGGGGAAGTATAACTTCCAGAATCCAGAAATCAAGGTGTTCCTAGCCCAGGCTGCAATCATATTATAGTGTATGTGTGTGGTAGGGGGAGAATGAGAATGGGACAGCTGTCTTGTAGTTCCTAGATGAGTGCCCTGAGGATCATAGGATGGCTTAGTTTCCTCAGAAAGGGAAGTCAAAGACCTGACTCTTGCATTTCTACCACATCAGCTGGTGAGTGAGGAGGGGCCAACACTGGAAAAGCTAAGAAATAATTTATTCTGAGCTTTTCTCTCCCCCTCTGAGGCACCTTTGCTACACTAGCTAAAAAGCCCATCCAAATGAAAAGCCAGTCTAGCAAAGAGACACACAGAGAGAGAGATTGAAGGACAGATATGCAAAGATTCTTTCTGCCTCTTCCTGCCCTGATGATTTTAGTGAGGTAGGGCACAAGGAACTCAGAAGCCTCCGCATCTGGGGCCCTCCAAGCAACAATTGTAGGCCATGCCTCAGAATATTTATGGAAACATCCTTCCCAGTAGCTACATACCTTTCAGATATTTAGAGCTCTGCTAGAGCCAATCAGAAGCAGTGTCAGAACAGATCAAGCAAGGTTCTGCACAGTTAATAGCTGGTCTAGAACACTGTGTGTGAGACAGTGATAAACAAGTACTTTGAGAAGGCACGGAAGCACAAATCTTTCCATGAGGTATGCTTTCTCAAGCCTAGTGGTCCTGTTTGTTGAAACCTGTGATCCCAACCACCACCTTGCAGGGTGGCTTATTTTTGGCTATGAAGACACTCCAAGAAGCCAGGGTTGCTGCAGAGCTTTGTCGCCACTCTTAGGCTTGCCATGAGCTCAGGAGAAGCACTGAAGCCTACTGAGCTGGTTGGCAAGAGCTGCAGAAACTCTCGTTGCTCTGGCCTAATAGCTCTGATGAAAGCTGCCCAAAATGCCCAAATGGCCCCTCAAGTAGCTGTCATTGGCTTCCCTGCCACATGTCACCTCCCCAAGCCCTGCTTGGAGTCTGAAGACAGAAAGTGGCCACTTGAGGAATGGGGAAACAAAGCATTCTTTGCCAGGTCTCCTCTGGAAAAGGCCCAGCAGAATGCATTCCCTCTGCCTGTTGCCATGGTTGTGACAGTGGGCAGGCTGAGGGGAAAAACCACATGCTTCTGGGTCTCCTGCAGAAGAAGACTAGTAGAATGTAGCTCAGATCCCACAAGATTGGGGTGGCTTATTCTCTTCGCTTGGGATCATTTCTGCTATCTCCCACCTCTGCAGTTTCAGGCTGATGGCAGTGATGGGGGTCAGATTCTCCCTTGCATGGTGCTGCCATAGTTAGCCCTTTCAGAGTACCCATCACTTCAGCCTACATGTGAATAGGTTGAAGTGATGGGCTCTCCCCCATTCTCCCCACAGCTCTGATCTCAAAGAGCAGTGGGGGGGGGGGTGGAGCGAGAGGCTTTGATGTTGGTATCCCAGCGGTGATCCTGGGATACCTGCAGGAGGACTGAGGGCAGAGGTGATTACAGAATCATGACATGCATGATCCTTTGTTGGGCACCTCATGAGCCCAAGGCAAACAAGCCACATTGCCTAGCTTTCCATGCAGTCTGGCTTGTTGTATTGTCCAAGCCATCTCACTGTACAGTTTCTATACTGACAGTCTTATCATTTTATTTTTCAGCTACTTCCCTACTTAGTGTATTGCCTGAACCAGTCTGGAAAAAGGTCTGCTATGTTTTCAAAGACCTGGATGACTCATTGGAGTTCTTTAGCTTTTTTTTTTTGTTCTTTTTGTTTAATCTTCTGGCTGCATGCTATGGATTTCTACCCAGACATGCAGTAGAGTGTGTGCACACATGTGTAGGAACTAGACACTTGCATAAAGAAATCCTATAAATCCAGCTGTAGCACTGACTCCCACAACCCTTCAGATTAATGTCCCTGATTATGATGGTGCTTTGTCCCAGCTGACCCCTTTGCCTGCTTCAAAGCACCACCCTGGCTTCTCTTTATCAATGAAAGATATACAATAGCTTTATTAGGACCAAACAGATGTTGCAAACTATTTGTCAGGCTTTGCAGAACTTTATTCAGGCTGGATGTTATGTTAAACCAAAATAGCAAGAACATGGAGCCATGGTAGAAAAGTCCCACCTTAGAATACATGAGTTGTATGTAAGGATCATGCTTTCCATATTATAAGTTCATACTGGGGCCAGAACAATTATATTTGGGCCCTGGCTATGGTAGTGTACCTTACTGAACTCTTGAGTGAGAGTGATTTGTGATAGCTTTATGAAGTAGGACACTATTACAATTGAAAGTTAGGAGTAGGTTTGAGTCAGGCTTAGTTCTGCAGCCAAAAATCCCTCATGCAAAACACCATCGGGCTGCAGCGGAGGTAGTTATATTAGATTCTCAGCCCACCAGTTGCTTTTTCAACCCCAAAGCAGTTGTTGTTCAGTCCATTATACAGAAGGGTTGTGTTTCACTGCCTCATATACAGAAACCATAGGCTCTTAAGGATGCAAATTTATTCTCACTTACTTGGGATTAAGCCCCGCTATATTCAATTGGACTTTCTTCTAAGTTAGCATTCACACGATTGCACGGTCACTGTTCAAAAATGCCGGAAAGTTATTTTTTCTCCTCACAAAAAGGCGTGTGTTAGAAAATGAACACACATCTATCATTGCTGCTTTCAGACGAGCACCATGGTGTCTGAGCGCACTAAAATTCCGAACTGTTTTCGGTTTCTATAGGGAGCTCCCATTTCCGACCCGGGGAGAGGAGGAAAAAGGCTAGAAGGATCGGATGAGTGTGTCGGTCTAATTCTTAAGTCTATGGTTCCCATAACCTCCCGCTCGCTCCCTGGTCTTAACGGCGTACTTCCGGGGTTTGTCTGGCCGCCTTCCTTCCACTCGTCGGCTGGGAGCGGCCTGTGCGACAATAATAGCAGCATCATGGCCGGCATCAAAGGTACCATCGCTGGGGCGGCGTTGAGGAGGGAAATGGGGAGGGGATGGAGCAAGCCGGGAAAGGCGGACAGGGTCTCCCAGGCCAGGCCGCCGTCTCCGCGAAGAAGGTCGCCCCTCTATCCTGGCGGTGACGTACCCGACGATGCTGGGGTGGGGGGAGCTTTGTTTCCATAGCAACCGGCGCCTGCCTGGGTGTGAGGCTGCCTAGCCAGGGAAGCGCGCAGGCTGAGAGCGCCGTAAGGCCCCCCCAGACCTGCGCACACGCACACCCCTCTGGGCCCGCGGGTCCCCCACCCCCCTGGGCATGGGCTGGGATAAAAGCGAGCCCTGCAATGTTTGCCTGTAAACAGGAGCAATCGATTTTAACAGGACCCAACTTTCAAGCAAGTAGGCTTAAAAGGGTAGCAGCTCTAGATGGCTGTATTTGTTTTGTTAATGATTCGACTAATAGCACAAATGTTTATGAGCAGTTAATTAGCTATGGCATCTAAAATGATCCTTGCTGTGGAGAGAAGTTGTGGTAGATAATGGCAGAACTGCTGCTCTTTTATGCTTTGCTTGGTCTCTTTCAGAGGTATCATAAGTAAACAGTGAAACAGTGGCCTAGATTAACTTTTAAGCCACACTCGTAAAATGTGCAAGTGGGCCCTAGTGAGCTCATGAGCCTTATGGCATCTTAAAGGTCAATTTAGCATTGCAATGAATATCATACTGGGCAAAGTATGATAAAAAGGCTATAAATAGGCAATTGTGTCATGTAATGTCTCCTAGCATTTTCAGTTAAAAAAAGCTGTTTTAACAAACTTGTTTTCATTAACCATGCAGTATATGGTATTTTGAATAGAACTGCATTAAAGGGAGTCCCTGATGTAACAGCATTCATTTCTGCTTTACTTGGATGCCCTTTTCTAATTGGCTTAGGCAATTTCGCCATTGGGGTGGTGGCAGTGTGTGGGTGCATACACTTGTGCACACACATATATATGTAGATGTTCATGCATACCCCCACACACCACAACATCGCTTATTAAATTACTAATGTCCCATGTTTCCATTAGAAAGTTTTCAGCAATAATGAAACAGCATAAAATCATCAGCAATTCAGAGTAAGTAAATGTAACAGAATAGTCACAAGATCCCAATTATCAATATATTTATTATAACATCTGTATTGGTATATGTATGTTTTTCATTTTACATCATTCATTATTATTAGCATAAATATTGGAAACTTCTGAATAGTTTTACAGGTTATCTAAATGTTCCTTTTGGAGATGGGGCTATTTTCCCCCCTTTTTTGTATTTTTCCCTTTCTTCCATTAAGCTGGAGTTGCTATGGTAAAAACTGAATTCAGTGTTCTACATCTTTAGAATTCAAAGTGGCTGAATTGGAAAGCTGTGAGTGAGAACAGAATTGCTACTGTATTCTTCCTTCTGCCTGTAGTACTCTGCTTTAGGGAAAAATATTAACAACATTTTAGCAGACTGATACAATTTTGTCTGTCTTCACAGCTTTGATTAGCCTGTCCTTTGGGGGAGCAATTGGACTAATGTTCCTAATGCTTGGGTGTGCCCTTCCACAGTACAAGTAACGTATATTTTTACATTTCCTTGTTTGCTGCTTAGTTTCCTTTCAATTAGTGACTCTCTTTTCTCCTCAGTACCTACTGGGTTTAAATCATGGGTGGGCAAGTTGTGGTCTTCTATATGTTTTGGCTTATAATCTCCATCATCCCTTAATCATTGTCTATGCTGGCTAGAGCTGATATATGTTGTAAATCAAAACATCTCAGAGAATATTCCTGGTTTAAATACATGAAATCAGTATCGTTCCTAGCAAAGAACAAGTAGCCCTTTGCAACTTGGACATGGAGAAATTAGCTAGAAACACTTGGTCTTGACTGAACACAGCCACTTCTCAGCTATGTGTTGGAATTGGAATTGTACTTTGTTGCTATTAAAACTCAGAGATAGAAAGTCTCTTGTGTTGTAATCCACTGTGAATCTGCAGAATCACAGTGCAGTAAACTGAATGGCCAGTAAGAGCTTTAATTTACTCTATAATGTGGTTTCCGGTTTCCAGATTGATCCATAGATCAATTTAATTGAATTGTTTGGGTATATGTCTTGATCTCTTCAGTGAATCTGGTCTGTTATAAGTGAAGAATAGTTTTTTATGTGCTTAAGCAATTTGGTCTCATTAATGTGAAGATACCTAGTTAACAGGTTATTTCTAAAAGTGTCCATATGAGGTCTGAGTATCAAACTCAGTGGGACAGAGGACCAAACATCCAGAGACAACACCCACAGTTTTTCTTCAAAAGTTAGTTGACTTTAATGGGAGAAGGAGCTATTACTAGGAAATATGGTTAAGTTCTAGCTTTAATTCCAGTGTATAACACACTCTTTCCACAGCTGTCAAAATCCATTTCCCACTCACTAGTTTTTTCTTTGTGTGGCATTCTTACATTTGAGTTCGGCATCTGCCTAGATCCTATTTTGGGAAGCTTCTTTAACCAGACTATGTTTTTAGTGGGTAACTTGCTTGGTTCTTTTTTGACTGCCATAGTGGAAACAACTATGGAATGTTGTTCTTTGTTCTTCTCTAGTTCTAAACAACTAAAATAGGAAAAATCTTGACTATCCTGGTTACACCAACTTGGCTTGCATGAAATGACAAGTGAACAGCAATAAAAGCCCATGGTTTCTTGTTTTGTCTGAACCCAGTCATGGTGAGAAACCATTGGGACATGTACTCGTAGTAGTTGTCCACCAGAATGATTTACAATAGTCCCTTCCAGAGTTTCTCACTACCACAATTGCTTATTGTGTCATCCAAACTCAGACAATACAACACATCATGAGACAAGCCCCAGAATAAGTGAGCCACTGGACAAAAGTAGTTTTTGCTGCTCTTGTTAAGAGACTAGTTTGCTAGGGCTGTCAATGGCATCCTGGCTTCAGAAATCTCTGGAGCAGAAGCTGTGCCAGTTGGTTGGGCAGGGGTGCCCAATTGGGTTAGTGCTACCCAGCTGATTACCCCCTCTCTCCTACCCAATATTGGACTTCTCAGTCACCTGTGTGTGTGGGAGGGAATTGGCATGATGCCACTGCCCTGTTTTGGGGTAACCCTGTCAAGCAAATCACCAGCACCCTGCTCTTGCCTGTGCATCTTACTTCCAGGCAGAAGCCAGGATCTGCTTGATGGAATCATCCTAAGAACAGAACAGCAGCACAGAGTAGATCAGGCACCCCCACCTCCTGCTCCCCTTATGGCTCTTATTTGGATCAAGAGGGAGGGATGCCTGATCAATTCCATTGTCCTCCCCTTTGCCTTTCAAGGCATGAGCCCTGATTGTGCAGTGGTTTGAAAGGTGCAGTGACAGTGGGCTGAAGCTATTTCACAATTGTGGCTGTCAAAAAGAGGAGCCTCATTGCTCCTGTTGGTGTTACCTGGAATACTGCCAGGAGACAGGAGAGGGAAAGGGTATGGGTGGAAAGAACATAGAAACCATGATGAGCACAATTGTCAGTATGCTTGGGACTTAACAGCAACACATCATGGTGACTTACCATGATGGTTGCTGTTAAATGCTTATGTGCCCACTACATCCAGTGAATAAATAGGAATGCTGCTCAAAACAAGTGTACTTGTATAAAGATAGTGTGGTATACTTTCTCTGAAGAAAATATAAGAGGAATAATGTTTGTAAAACTACAAATATTTAACTATTTTTTTCACTCCTAGCCAATATTGGCCTCTGTTTGTTCTGTTCTTCTACACCCTCTCTCCAATTCCATACTGCATATCAAGAAGAGTAGTCGAAGATACAGATGCTACAAGTAACGCCTGCAAGGAACTTGCTATATTTCTTACAACAGGCATTGTTGTCTCAGCATTTGGGCTTCCAATTGTATTTGCCAGAGCACAGCTGGTTAGTATCCTTAAAGCATGTTTTGTTCATGTTCAGTTGCTCACAACAAGCAGAGAACACATAGAATTATGCTGTTAGTTTAGTAAGTTCATGGGGTGACTATGGATTATTTGTGATCTCAGGAAGGACATCCCTGTGTGACCCAACCCTGTGAATTGGAACCTCATGATCCAATGCTGAAGAACCCTGGGAACTCCCCATGCTCTTAGGGAGTAAGCGGAGAACTCATATTTGAGTTCTTCTTCCACAGTGGTTGACTCTCTATATAAAATGAACGTGCTCTCATACCCTGCTCCAATATTGATGAGGATTCAGGACCACTGTCAGTTTAAATGTGGAGAGTCAGCCATACTGGATGTGATAACTTCCATCATGGCAGTCATCCCTTGACTTGTGTTGTCCCAGGCAGCATTCTTATCTGCTTGCATGAGAGAGCCAACCCTGCCTTGCAAAGTCTTCAGAATTTCACAAGGTTTTGTTATATGTTACACTATAGTGCCTAAGAATGAACAATGGGTTGAAAGGCCCCTGGGTTTACATTCCACACAATTTGTCACCCTCAGATCCTCTTCTACAATTTGAGAATAATAATACTTATTTACCTACAAAGTGTTGAAAGTCTTATTAGAACATCTGTGAAGTGTTTGAGAACATAGGAAATTATGGTTATGTTGCTGCAAACCTATCCTTGCTTATGTGGAAGTAAGCCAGGGGCTTAGGCTGAGTAGATGTATATAGAATTGCACTGTAATTCACAGATACTTAGCTTTTGTCTAAGAAGAGGACTTGGGGGCAGGATCTCAAAGGCCAGATGCAGAGATCCTTTGTACTCACTTGGAAGTTTTAAAGCCATCCTTATGTTTCATCCCCATAATGCTCCTAGATGTCTCCTTAAAAGTTGAGATTTACCCCCATGAGTAAGTGCTCTGCCCTCCCCACTAATTTTCTTGCTGTTTGTACTCCCCTCTAGAAATTTTTATACCATTCACAGATACATATTGGAATTCCTAGGATGTGCATATGTGAGCATGCCTGTGCCTCCCTCTCTTGCTCTGTGTGTATAAATTGTGGATGCTGCTTTCTTTTAAGGCTGCATTTTGATGTAGGAATACTTAAATGTGATGTTTAAATGTTTCTCTCTCTTGTGTGTGTCTGTGTTTATCAGTGGCCCCGAGCCAGCATCATAGATGGCCCTAAATGCCAAACAGGTTGTGCAACTTTGCCTTAGAGGTGCAGAAGTGCTTACACTTTACAAGGTGCTTGCATCCAGTGTAGTTACTATGAATGGATGGAACACCTTTGTTTAGTTATCTAGACAACTTTTGCCAGGCTGTCTGAAGGAATGCTTCTTTCCATATGTTCCTGCTGATTCTCTGAGGTCATCATCTAAGGTCCTTCTCAGAGAGCTCCCTCTAAAGGAAGTAAAGAGTGGGGCTACCAGGGGAAGGGTCTTTTGGGGTGTGGTACCCTTATGATGGAACCAGCTCCCCAAAGGGGTGTGCCTGGTGCCTACTCTTTATTCTTTTCTGCATCAGGTAAAAACCCTTTTATTTACCCAGTATTTTAACAGTTACAGGGATGTGGTGGCACAATGGGCTAAACCGCTGAGCCACTGGGCTGGTTGGTTGAAAGGTCGACAGTTCGAATCCGCACAAAGGGGTGAGCTCCCATGCTTTGTCCCAGCTCCTGCCAACTTTGCAGTTTGAAAGCATACAAATGCAAGTGGATAAAAAGGTACCACTTTGGTGGGAAGGTAACAGTGTTCCGTGCCCTTTGGTGTTTAGTCATGCTGGCCACATGACCACGGAAACTCTGCGGACAAGCGCTGGCTCCCTTGGCTAGGAAACGGAGAGGAGCACCACCCCCAAGAGTCAAACATGACTGGATTTAATGTCATGGGGAAACCTTTACCTTTATTTTACCAGTTGAATTTTCTTTTTCATCTTTTACATTGTATTTTATCTTGTAGAGCTGTTATACCTTTGGACTGATCTCATTGTGGTTGCTGTGGGTTCATTGTTGACATTTTAAGTATTATTTTTGTTTGATGTATAAGTTATTGATTATTATATATTATTGATTGCTGATGATTGTCTTGTTGTATATTTTGTTGTATATTTTAATGTTGTGAACTGAACTTCCGAAAGAGCCTCTTTGGCTAATGGACAGTATAGAAATAAAATTAAGTTAGTAAATTACATTGGATGAAACTCTGTGTACATCTATTGCTTTGTATATATAACTATTTTCTTTCCTCTGTCCATAGATTTATTGGGGAGCCTGTGCACTTGTCCTCACTGGAAACACAGTCATATTTGCTACCATCCTAGGATTTTTCTTGGTTTTTGGCAGCAATGATGACTTCAGCTGGCAACAGTGGTGAAAAGAGGTGGAAAGAGAACTATCAGCATCTTTTGTCATTCAGTGGCCATCCATACAACAGAAAGAATGGGCAATAAAGTGAATGTACTGTTTCCACAGAGGGACTCTAGGTGTAAGACACTCTATAGTCATTGTTCCTCTCCTTTCACATGCAAATTTAGCATTTTGCTTGATTTCAACATTTTTTAAATTGTGGATGTTGTTTTCTTTCAAGGCTTTATTTTGATGTGGGAACCAGAATGCTTAAATGTGATGTTTAAATGTGTCTCTGTTTAAGAACATCATAACTGTGTTTAAATATAAAATTTATCTGCTGACCCTGGGTTATTTTAAGCTGATATATACAATTGTACAATTGTACATCCAAATTAGCAACAAACCAAGGACATAAAGGTAAGTTGTTTCTGAAGCCCTTTCTTGGACATGAGTATTTGGAAATAAGTCTCACTGAGTTCAATGGGGCTTACTCCCAAGTAAGTATGTATGTGTGTAAGTGTGCATTGTGTACAAGACCTATTAATCTCAGTGGGGGACTTAAACATGTCTTCAACACTCCTGTTCCTTTTTGAAATAAATAGGACTTAAAGCAGCTGGATTATGTAATTAGCAAATGCGTACATGGCTGTGGGATTTTGGTAGTGATGTGTGAAGAACTGAAGAGAAAAATGCCCAGTGGCTGATTAGGGTGCTGCTTATTTCTATATGCAGCTGAAACAGAATGCTATTGATTTGAGAAGATAGCTTTGGACAATAATGGAATGCCTCGATTTTAATTATTTTGGATTTTACAAATTTTTTGTTGCTGATTCTATAAAATGTAGCTGGGGGAAGAATCTGATCTCTCATTGGGGAGCAGAAGACAACTGACCTTTAAAATCTACTTTATAAGAATTCATGTTGAAATGCTACTATTTTATAAGTATTGTATGATTTTACATTCTGTGGTGACTCTTTCTATGTTTTACCAAAGGGAGGTTAAGGGAATACCCATGGCACTCCTGATTATGGGTTCAACTGTGCAGGAAGTTCTGCACAAGCCACTTGGAAATGAAAAGAGTGCTCTTGTCCTTTCACTTCCTTTGTCCCTGTGGCTTGCACAGAAGGGCTGCACAGTGAATTGCATCCACTATGTTTGCAAAGGACAAAATAATTTCTGCCTCCCATTTTTAATTTATGTTATACATTGTATAGAAAGGCTTTTCAAATGTAGATTATGTCTGTCACTGTAGCTAACCTGACAGATCAATTACTGTATTAATATATAGTCAAAGCTTGGCTATCTGGCAAATCTTTGACTGTGAAGGGATTTTTAGTGGTTCTCTCCATGTTTCAGTTAATGTATTCATTAATTAAATGTTAGATCATCCTTGCATTTTGGTTAGAGTGTATCATATGTAATTTGCAATATTTAATTTTTGTTGCATACCTCTTAATTGTCATTTCTGTTAACCATAAACTACCATATTTTGTAGACATTTTGTAGGGTGGTGCTTTGCTGGTGACTCCTTAGTATGACACTTAGGCTGGAGCATGTTGGGAACTACAAGACTTTTTTGTATCTAAATGTGTATAAGGTCGCACCCTTAATCTCTGTCTGTGCTAATACTACGCATTCATGCAACTAGCCAAGTCTGACTACTTGATGCAGTCACTTAAACATGTTCCCTTTTTGAAGATAATCACCAAACAATGGGCATGATCCATCCTTCTGTGGGCAAACTCATTGGAGCCTTCTTCCTCCCCTCCATGGCTGGTCCATAGGCATGTATGCTCCATATTGTACCTGTATATCTATTTACATGTCTCTCACCTCTCTAAGAAGTTGGGGAGATGAGGGACAACAGGATGGCAGAAGGACCACGTGTACTGCTTTTTTGTTACACGTAATGCCTGGTGCACTGCAATTTGGGGTGAGTGGAGAGAGAATGGACCCTTTACTGCTTCTCTTTTACTGACAGAGCTCCATCCATGAGACCGACACAGGATCATTCATGCCTTACATTTACAGGCATAAGGAGTTGTTTAACAGCACATTGCTATGCATACACGTATGTGATGCAGTGTTTCTACGTACTTTTAAAGGATGAGAAACTGACTTAAGATACAAAACTATAAAGTGCATTGATTATAAAGTTACATCCCTATTTTAACTTCAAAAACATTGCAAGAATTAAGAGCAGAAGATGAACCTGTGTAAGTAAGTTTTGAAGAACTTGCACAGTTACTTGGATCCCCAGCCAAGTTCTAAATAGGTGACCATTTTGAACATCTGCCTTCAGGATTTGGAAACACAAATTTTACTGCATGACACTGAGATTTATGCTTTCAAATCCCTGAAGCATTTTGGAAACTCCGTGCACTGGTGATTGAATCATAGATGTATACGAACTCTTTGTGATTCTCCTGATCATGTATTATAGCAAAGTGGGTTCTCTTTTTCCCTGTAGTTCTTGTTGTTTTTATTTGTGAAATGACTGGCAACTACTTAACTGGGTGCCAACTCTATTATACTTAATAGTAGTGTATTTTATGTGTATTAATTGTGTGGACAGCATTGTGGTGGCGATTTTGCTCATTTTTAGACATAGTGCTGTCTCCAATTATCAGGTTGGACATTTGAGAGGTATGTCCTTTTTTCCATGTAATATGCACTGAGAAGCATTGCCATCCTTCTAAAAAGAGAAATTTTGATGAGAAAACAATAAAAAATAAATAACAGACTGTTTGGTCTTTTTAATGAGCATCTTCTTTTAAAAACAAGAGGAAAAAAACTCTACTTTGTTCCAGACAATGTGCAAAGTAGATTTCTTTGAATTTCAGGAAGGCATTTATCTAGGCTTCCTGTGGAAATCTGTTTGGCTGTTATGTCCCAAAGTCACGATGGAATTTGTTCAGATAGTTATTAAAGCAGCAGTCCTATTCATGTTTAGACAGAAAAAGTCCTACAACTTCTAGCAGTCCCAACATGGTTGGATGGGGAACATGAGGAAGTGCAGGACCTTTTTTGTTTAAACATGCACTGGATTGTGTCTTAATAGGTATATCAGGTCTTATAATTTAAAATGGTCATAAAAAGGAATATTGATAGCTGTGTGCATCCTTATCTTTATTTAAAGGTTAAAAAGTCAATACTCAGCCAGTCCAAGTTTGGTTCCTGCTACAAGGTACCTGTTTTAAGAATTTTCACTGTTTATCAGCTGAAAAGGCTCCCACAGAAGATTTTCTAAGAATAGCAAAAAACAAAAACAAAAAACATTTGCTATGATCTAAAAAAGTTAGATCTAAAGGACTTAACATAAAAAGGGGATTAGCAAACTCAAAACAGCAGTTTTTAAAGTTATACAGTTACAATGTGCCAGCAAGTTTGAACTGTTCAGAGAGAGAGAGAGAGAGAAACCAAATGGAACTGGTCATTTAGCTTCAGCCAGCTGGAATGGCTGCTAAAAGCTAAGGAAAAGCAATTATCCCACATCTGCATAATTTCTTTTACGTATTGCTGCATTTTGTTCACTGTTTTGTGCAACACTGGCCTTGTTGGAGCTAGAGAACAATGGATTCTGTTGGCCACTGAACTCTTCTCCCAATCTTATTTGGCCCCTCATTTGAGATTTCAGCACAAACTCTCACCAAGCATCAAACATTTTCCCAGTCATAAGCAAATTTAAGAAGCAAAGGAATACGTCAAGTAAACGAACACACAAAATTAGTGCACTGTGTAGAGGCTTACAAGCCTAAGTAATTTAACAGGTTGACAAAAGTCTTACTGTTCACCTGGAAAACGTTAGAGGTGATTATGGGAGTGCATGATTAATGATCTGGCAAGATAGGAAAAAGGGATTGCTGCAGGGTAAAGGGTTTTCCAAAGGCTGCACAGCTTTGAGGCTGAACAAGTATTCTCAGAAGTTACTAGTTTTCCATCTAGTCCTCTTTCCTATCAAAGCTGATGATTGCGCGAACAACATATTTGTATCTTCTTGTTGCCGAGCGTCGTGAGCTGAACAAAATTGCGACGGTAGAAATGCAAAAGAACTAGGAGCAAAGTTAGTTATGCCTTGGTGGCTTATTATTTCATTGGCTGTTTGAGGGGAAAGAACTCTGCACGTGCCCAAAGGCTCCCAGACTGAGGCAGCAGAAATTTAATAAAAGTGGCAGTTCTATATTGGAAGATGCCCACCAGAGAGCAACGAGACTTATCCGCGTAACCCAACAGCAGCCCCCCAACTGACTGACACACCCCCTAACCGCCCTCCTTCGCGCAGGCGCTATTGCTACGTGTGAGCTCACCTCGTCACTCCTGTAAGTGCGCATGTGCATGCGCAGGGACTACCAGCGTGAACCATAGAGCCAGGGATTAGCGCACGACCGCGCACGGTGGGGTCAATGGTCACGTAGATCTACATCCGGGTCGAACGGTTCTCGTCGGACCTTGGTGTCTCGGCTTTCTTCCTAACCCGCTGCAGTTACTTCTCTACCTCTGGCAAGATGGCGGCAGGCGCGGGCAGCGGAGGCGGCGGCGGCGGCGCGGCAGGGAGCGCCTCGGTCGCCTCGCTCTGGAGCGAAGTGAATCGCTGCGGCCAGAACGGCGACTTCGGGCGTGCGCTGAAGTCGGTCAATAAGAGTGAGTGAACGAGGAGGGTCTTGCCTTCCCTGTCACCCGGCTTCCTATGCCTGCTTCGGGCTGGTCTGCCTGCGCTTCCTTTCCCAGAGAGGGGGGCTAACCTGGAGCTTGCAGCCTTCCCACATTTCCTTTTTCTCTCGTTAGCATAGCGAACTGAAATCGTACTAATTACTGCACAATCCAGTGCTGCATTTATAATACTTTAAAGGAAGTCCTCACGGCAAGCCTGTACTTTCATAGCCATATTGCTGGTAAGTTAGGACTGAGCCAATATTGATTTGAGTTCACGGCTGAGGTGAAATTTCACTTGGAACGGTTAGATTTGCCCTTTCTTTTGGCAGCTCCGTGTCAGTAGCTCTCAGATGTGACCTGGCAGCAGGCACTGCCTTTAATGTCCTTGTATTAAGAGTTTCTGTTCTTGTTGGGAGTTTCAGTAATGGCAAGAGTTGCTCGCTTCTTTTGAGTGGCTTTAGGCAACACATTTCCAGCTTTAGCTGCAATATGGGGCTGATAATAATACTTTACTTTGCAAGCTCATTGTAATTACCACAATGAGGTAGTAAGCACTTTGAAATTTTCTAGATACATTTGTTCTATCTCCTCTCCTGATAGAGATTAGTCATCATCATTATTATATGATTTAATGGATAATATGTTCTAAAATAAATAAATCATATTTAAACAGGCCTTAGCTATGGCCTATCTGCTGATTTTATCGCATTGCTCCTGATCTATTCTTTAAGGTTTTTTCAGCCAAAATGTTCTTCTCCTTATACAGTGGTACCTCAGCTCATGAATGCCTCAGTTCATGACCAGATCAGGTCGCGAACAGAAATTTCTGAAAAATTTTGCCTCGGGTTGCGAACTCTGCATCGGGTGATGATCGCGATCACGCCCCTCTCCCCTCCCAGTGCGCCCGTGATTGCACCTGTCTGCCGCCCCCCAGCACACCTGCAATCACCCGTCTGTGCCTGCGGTTGTGCTGGGGGGTGGAGATGGCTGTGATCTTTGTTGTTCTTTGTCACTTTGCGTCAAATTTTTGTGATTAAAAAAATAGTTACATAATGAATTAACCTTATTTACATTGAACCAAATTTGACTTGGCTCACAACCAATTTGAGTCACAACCAGAGTCCTGGAACGAATTAAGTTCATGAGCCAAGGTACCACTGTACTTCTTTTCCCATTTATTTTACTTTGTATAATCAGCTGTAGCAGGCTGCTGCTGCTGCTGTTGTTAATTTCATTTCTATACTACCCCACAGCCAAAACTCTCTGCGTGATTTCCAACAGTGCAGAAAAACAATACAATAAAATACGATTAAATCTTATTGAAAGAAGCATTAAAACAGATTAAAAACAGCTGAAAGCATGCATTGAAGAATGACCATGTAAAAGAAAAATCCCTGGGATGGGTAATTCCCTTAAACCCTAGGATAGCAAAGTATATCCTAAAAAGCCTCAGTATAAAGCGCTGTCTTAACATGACAGCAAAACAATGTCATGGTTGGTGCCAGGTGGACCACAGTGGGGAGACCATTTAATAGATGGGGGCCATCTCAAAGAAAGCCTTTCTCCTTGTTGCCACAATCTGAGCCTCCCTTGGAATTGGCACTCAGAGGAAGGCCCCAGATGTTCAGCATAATATCTAGGTAGCTTTCTTTTCTCATTATATGACCAAATTACTCATTTTTTCTTCATTATATGTATTTTATAATTTCTTGATTGTTGCACATTATTATCATCGCATTCCATTAATATCCATCCTTTTTTCCTATTGTGGGGAACCCAAGACCACTTACATAGCTCTGTTTCATCCTCACAGGAACAACCCTGTGAAGTTGCTTAGGCTGAGAGAGTAAATGGCCCAAAGGCATTGCCAAGTGGGGATTAGAATCCAGATTCCCAGACTTACACTCTAGCACTTTCTTTAATACTTCTGTATTGGTTATCCTCTCAGGCCATGAAATTCATACCATCCAGTGATAAATCCACATTTCAAATGTTTCTCTCTTTTCTGGCTGTCAGTGCTAAAAGTCCATGATTCCATGCCATACAGCGGAACTGAAAATACCTAACACTGTAATATACCAATCCTCAGTGCTATTTTTTGGTGACACATTACATTTTTATTTTAAAAGTCCTACTCCAAGCCATTTCTATTTTAACTCAATTTCTATTATCCCACTGTAGATTCAGCCAAATTCTAAGATAATTTATCAACCTGCTCCACATTTTCATTTTTTTAATTGTGTTTCTTTGGTACTTGTTTTTTACTAATTACTCTGCACTTGGTTTTCTGAACATTTAATTTTAGAATGTATCCATACTTCTTTCTCTGATTTTATCTAGTAATAATGTCCATTAGTATATGATTGAAAATCTTTTCATTACCAATGATATTATTTAAATCAGCAAATTGCTCTTTAAAGAAGTTCTTGGAATACAAATTAAAAAGCAGTGGTGTGAGTATACATTCTTGTTGTACTCCTTTTTGAATTTCTATACCCTCTGTTATCTGATCTTCAGCTTCCATGCTAGCTTTCTTTTGCCAGGAGAAGTGGCACTTGTATATGTGGGAAGCTTTGCTGAATTGCATATTCATGGGGGCAGCTGTGTCAAATTGCTGTTTGCTATCATATGTCTTATTGAAAAACTTATGGCATGGTGATTACCTGCTTTCTTCCATGCAGAGGTTTTGCAAGTTCTCATGCAGTTCCCTACTGCTTATCCTGGTGACCAGCTGGATTATTTATTCATGTTCACTTGTAACTGCTGCCATAATACCACTGGTGGCCTGCCAGTTTCCTGTATAGGTGCATGGAAAAATTATGGAGCAATCAAAAATATCTTTTCTTAGCCTTATACATTATCTTTTTTGAGGAAGATTGACTTTTTGGATCAGGCTAACAAGGCCCTGGTGTAGAGTCAATAATTACCAGCACATTATTAAATTTTCTCTAAAAATTATCAGTTAATGGTAAACTAGGCCTTATGGTGTTTACAGCATACCCCTGTCTTTGAAGCAGCAACTGGATAAAATATTATGAGTTACAAGCCTTAATTTGTATAACAAATGGCTTACCAAGTCCCACCAAAACTT